GTGTGTGTGTGTGTGTGTGTGTGTGCGCGCGCGCGCATGTCTGTGTGTCAGTGTGACTGTGTGCATCAATGTGAACCCAGTCAATCCTAGATGGGGCTGTGAGGGCTGAAGATAGTGAACCCTTAAATTAAATTTGAGTTTTGTTTTCTTCTTTAAAGTGTTGTGTATAAAATGTTCTCCCATCATGCGTCTCTGAAGCTTGCTACTTATTTGTTTGTTATGGCATTTACATTCCATCTTCCTTTTACAAAAAAAAGCAAATATATCTTTAAAGGAAATTAAAGGCAAATTAGATCATAGAATGCATTAGAAACCACAGATTCATCTAATGCAGTTTTTTTTCCAACCTAGAGGTCATGATCCCCAAGGGCGCTCACAAAGTGTTTTCTGTGTGTGTGTGTGTGTGAATGTCAGAGGTTGGATTATTTGTGTTGTAGCCCTTGTCAAATAATTTCTTCCTTCACCTTTTAGACTGGGATAGTAAAATTAGTGCATAAGAAACAGGCCCTTTTGGGGGAGAAAGAAGCCTCTACTTTCTGAGAAGGGATGATGGGGACTAGTTTTACCAAACAAACAAACAAACAAACAAACAAAAAACCCACAAACAAAAAACCCACAAACAAACAAACAAACACACCATAAAGATAATTGCTGCCGTTTCCACCAGAAAGGGATTTTAACTACAATATGTGACTTCTGGAGAGCCTACAGAAGGGGAGGAAAAGGAAAACTAAGACCCCCCCACCCAACACAGAACAAACCCTCAGGATGGTGACCACAAAGAAATGTTTTCCCCCCTTCAGGGAAAGCTTTCTTCTGGTTTCTGAGGGGGGATCCTCTTTGCTTGAAGGTTTTTACCCATCCCCTAGATACTGCAATGTCCTCCCACCCCTTGGTCCATTTCTGAAATCCTCTTTCTTCTCTTCTCCCTGCCTTTATCCTCCCCCCAGCCTGTTCTTTCCCCAGTTTTGGAGTAGTGGTGGTGGATTCAAGGGCAGGGGCTGTAGGAGGGCGAGCAAGAGCAGCAGCAGCAGCAGCAATGGCGCCGCCATATTGGGGACAGACAACGATGGCCTTTTTAATGGGGGTGTCACGGGTTACTTGGCTATTATAAAAGGGGTTCACGACTTGCAAAAGGGTGGAAACCACTGTTCTAATGGTATCAAAAAGCAGTGCATCATTATCATCATCATTGTCTAGAAGCTCTTGCTTTCTATCCCCTTTGACCTGTTAAAGGAAAGGGGAAGAAATGTTTTCGCAGCATCCCATTGGCTGACAGGTTGCAAAGAGAGATGTATTTTTCAGTTTGCCATCCCACTGGGAGAGAAGCTCTCAGAAATTAGCATGAAAGTTGACACATCTTATTGCTCTACAGTGTATCATGTTACCAGGCGCTATACTGCTGCAAATGGCACAGAGTCTTCCCAGCTAGAAGTAAGTCACTCTGCTCACCAAAGCCCTGAGAGCAATTGACTTCTTCATTTCTGAGATAATTTCTGACTGGGAAGTTGTAGGCAGTAGGTAGTTGTTTAGAACCCCAAGGCTGGCCTCTCCCTTCGTGCTCAAATGAAAAGATAAGACCATGAGAATTCAGGGCCTGCCTTTGGTTTTGGCTCTTTGGGAAAAAGAACATCTGACCTGCAGCATTTGAGTGCCATCAGCCCATCACAACGCCTAGAGAAAGAGCCAATGGTATTTTTAAAAAAATGTTGCTGGCTGGATCATGCCCAGCTCAGAAGAGGGGGAAATTCATTACCATCTGTTCGTACAAGATGAATTTTTGGTGCAAGTCCAATTTCAAATGCATAATTGTCCTCATGCCTTAACAAAAAGGGCCATCAATGAGTAATACTTAATGAAAAAACAAAAACAAAAAATGCAATGTACTGAACACTTCTCACCTAGAAACAACAAAGGGATAGAGATTCTGACACACGAACCAAGCACATCAGATTTCACTGCTAGAACCTAGCCAAGGGAGCTCTGTCCAGCTGTATGTGTCAAAGGAGACATGCCTGCTATGCACAATTCACTTGTTTTAGCTTCCACAATGGAATTTCCCCAGAAATGTGTGCCTCCATAATCAAACTTGCTAATTACACTTGTGTTTACCTTCCACTACCACCTCTGGGAAGCAATGGAAGACAGGAGGGTCTGGTGTGCTCTGGTCCATGGGGTCATGAAGAGTCAGACATGACTTAATGACTAAAGAACAACAATTACCTTCCACTGGCCAATCACAAAGAGAAGAATGCTATTCTGTGATGGAGGAGAGGAAAATCATGCAGGACAAAGAGATTCCTTTGATCAACTGGGGAGTACCTTCTTAAAAAAAAGAGGGTCAACCTATTGTCTAGCTTGAGCTTGTGTTGATGTCCCCAAACACTCTTTTCTTCATTTCAAACAAAAGCAAGATGGAGCTGTAATTTTTTACAAATAGATGATTTGGAGGAAAAGATATTACAGAGTTCTTTCCAGGCAGGAGATGCTGGTGCCTATAATGTCAAAGAAGCAGCAAACCTACTCCAGATGTTACTATCAATTTTAGAGATATTCTCCAAGATTCTGATATAGGTTCAGTACCTTGGAAAGCTCCTTCAACATTTGGGTTAAAGTCCAGAGCAGTGTCATTATCTCAGCAGAGGGGTCTTTCAGCAAGAATGAGCCTGAAGAACTGGAGACTCCAAAGCCTGATGAGGTAGAGGAATTTGCCAACAAGATTTATACCAGTTGTGTTATGCCAATATGAAAAGCTCAATAGGCTTTTTGGCAATCACCTCAGGAAGCGATAAGCCATCTCTCTGAATTGGATTTCATGCACTGAGCAGGGGGTTGGACTCAATGGCCTTGTTGTTGTTGTTTAGTTGTTAAGTCATGCCCAACTCTTCATGACCCCATGGACCAGAGCACGCCAGGCCCTCCCGTCTTCCACTACCTCCTGGAGTTGGGTCAAATTCATGTAGGTCGCTTCGATGACACTGTCTAACCATCTCAACCATGTCATCCCCTTCTCCTCTTGCCTTCACACTTTCCCAACATCAGGGTCTTTTCCAGGCCTTAGAGACCCCTTACAACTCTAGGATCCCATGCTTATTCTATGATACAGTCCTTTTTATATGTTTGCCCAGATATGGGTTTTATAACATCACTTTCCCTTTTGGACAGAAAGGATTGAAAAGGGATTGAAAGGATTGAAACTTACTCTAAAAAATTCTTTGGTAGACCCTGAATCCAAAGTTCCGTAGGCTATTTCAGTCTGCTTTGCCAAGTCTTCAGCACTTTCTATAGGAGACACCATCCTTTCCACTGTGAGGAAGGCAGCGAGGTTGGCAGTGTAGGAGGAGATAATGATGAGAGTGAAGAACCACCAGACACCTCCAACAATTCGCCCTGAGAGAGATCTAACAGACAAGAAGTGTGGTTATAATAGTTACAAATCAGTCTTCAGTCTTCTTTGGGGAAGAGAATCACATCCTGTTGGAAGGGAAGAAAGAAAGACAAACTCCAGTGTTGGTGTTGAAGCAGGCTGCCAATTCATTGCATCTATCTCTCAACCATCTTTAAAAAGCCTTTAATGCATGTGAGGAGAGAAAATTTTAAAAGCTTTTACAGTACCACTCAAGAATGGTGTGGCTCCATATTGCCCCGACATCCTGGTAGTAATATAAGTCACACCTGATGAGTTGGTAAACTCTTCCAGAGAACAGAAACAGCTGTGACATCCATTCCTAATACAGTGGTGCATCACATTACGACATTAATTCGTTCTAACAAAATTGCTGTAGAACGAAAATGTCATAAAGCGAAAATAAAACAGCCATTGAAACGCATTAAACCCTGGTTAATGCGTTCCAATCGGCTAAGAACTCACCATCCAGCGAAGATCCTCCATAGGGGCGGCCATTTTCAGGTGCCTGTGCAGTGAAAAATGGTTCCTAAACACAGCGGGGAGCCATTTTGAGCACCCGGCGGCCATTTTGAAAATCCGAAGATCAGCTATTTGATCATCAGGAAGCGAAAATCGGTTCCCGAAACAGGGAACCGATCATCGCGCAGTGAAATTCCCCCATTCAAAACATCATTTTGCAATTGCTTTTGCGATCGCAAAAACCTCGTCGTAAGGCGGATTCGTTGTTAAACGGAGCGCCCGTCTTGCAAGGCACCACTGTAATAGTAATAACTGCATCCCATCAAGCCCAATCCTATTTATTGAAACCTTTTCTGAAATATTCCAGGTAGGGAGTAGTTGGAAACAGCTTACCATTCTCTTCTTGTGGAAGTGCACAATAAGGATGGATTTTTTTTATTTCTTGAACTAAAAATCTCATAATTGGCAATTCTAAGACTTCTATCGGATTTATACACACCTTAGAGACACCTAATGGTGGCTCACTTGGAGAAAAGGCTTAACTGGAAGGCTTTGAAGCTTAATTAAGGCTGGCTCCCTTCCTCCTCTCTCTTCCTCCCTCTCCTGTGGCTGTCCCAAGACATCTTGCAGCCTGAGACGAAGCATTAAGTGCCACCCTCTATACAGCCTGAAGCTAGCCAAATTATTTTGTCTGTTGAAGGCAACAAACTGAACCTGTACAATGGCAATAGAATGACAACATATTAAACAGCCAACAGTTTCTCAGCTTTTTTGAATCAGCTACCTGAAGGAGCCAGCCCACCTTGCTTAATGATTGCATAATCTCTCTCACTTTCTCTCTCACACACAAAACACACACAAACACACCATATCCCCTTAGAGGCGTCAAGATCACAGATGTCAGAAACAAACTAGTTTCCTCCTAAACTTCTGAATTCCTTCCCTGAGGGCCAAACTACCTGTGATGTTAAACGTACATTATCATGCTGGGTTTTGATTTTTTTTTTTTTAAAAAGAACCAGTGTTCACTGGGTGCATGGAGGGTAAAAAGCAGAGCAGGGTGGGAGTTAACTGGGGCCCCAGTGGGTGTGGAGTTAGAAATCAACTCTTTCCTCACCAACCAGAACCACGAGGAAGCTCTCTCCTCTGACGCTGGGATTTGCGTTGGGAAGAAATGGCTTTGAGAGCCAACGGAGGGGGCATTTCTTCTCAAAAGCAAGCAACAGTTTCAGAACAGGGGCCGGATACAGGGAAAGTTTTAATTTTCCCATGCCGTTCACCATATTCTCACAGTTGGCTTTGAGGTAAACTGGAAGAGACTATTTCCCTAATGCAAAATTCATTTGATCTCTCATTTTCCTAACAATGTTCTTCATCCACGGATATTGGCAAGAATCCTGTTGTGCATTTTCAGCAGTTAGGTAACTTTCAGCAGTGAATTGTCCCAGGTTCGGATGTCAGGGTAGGCATTTCTGAGTTACGTGATTGATGTGTGATAGCAAATGCCTGTGCTGACTTCTCAACATATGGCAATTGGTTAATGAAAGTTACTCTGGTGGGTGTAACTAACAGGATCTCAGATCCTATGGTATAGGTGAGTGCCTTTGATGGATGTGTAATTCACTAGTAGATAAAGCACAGGCTTTATTGAAACACCCATCCTCATTCTGTGGCACCTCATGTTAAACATTCGCAAACAGCAGAACTGGGGGTGGGCATCTCTCTCTATTTAATTTCTTTTTATTAATTCAGTTTCTCTAGAACTCAAGTACTTTCCATAAGATTTATGAAGAAATTTGCACATTTGGGTATGTTTTGATTGAAAAACAAACCTAAGTAAATTCTCAACTTCTGCACCAACCAAAATTAAGTACAGCTATTTCAGACATGGGAAAAGATTCTTTGCTAATCACTTCCAGATTACCCTCAGACAGAATATTTCTCTCTCCTGGTTCTCTCGAGAAGTAGAGAAGATCACTTTGTACTTGCTTGTTATGCAATTGTTCAAGACGGAGTGTCTGTTGGAGTTGGCAAAACTACTTGGCCACTATAATTCTGCACCCCAAATATGAATGAATATGGATTTGACGCCAAAGTTTTGTCAGCCAACCTCTTAAAGCCTTCTGCTCAGATCAGCACGGCAGTCAGTCTTGTCTTCTCCTAATTTATGAAGACATTTTGTGAATTTTGAAAAGCTGTTATAAAAAAATGAACCAAAGGAAATTCTTTCTCATTCTCACTTGTGCGTTACCCTTGTCAGGGTGAAAAAATAAATGGTACATTTAGCATCTATTTCAAACAGGTGCTCCTTCAAGTGGCAAAATAGAACCATTTGTTGCGGCTCTTGGTTGAGGGAAAAATACGTTAATCACAGAGAATGAACATTTGCCTTAATTCTGTGGTTCCTAACCTTGGACTCCCAGATAACACTGAATTACAAAACCCAGAATCCCTAGTTCATGCTGGCTTGGGTTTCTGGGAACTGAGATCCCCTAATATCTGGAGATCCAAGTTTGCTGTAATGCTTTGTTTGATCCTGAAATGTTGGAGAGCTGTGATCAGCCAGAGAAGCTAAGTCTGGATTAGATGGGCAATGGCTTGTTGTGGGTTCCTGTCTCGGCCAACCAGGCTAACTGCTGTGTTTTAAGGGAAACAGGTGAGGTGGGAAGGGTAGCAAAGTTGTGACCAAAAAAAGGGGGATTGATGCTTGGTCAAAATAGGACAAACGGAAAGTTGGCAAGGGAAAAAGCAGAAGAGAAGCACTCTGAAGAAAACCCTCAAACACAATGGTTCTTGCCCAACTATATTTTTGTCCAACCTATTTGTTGAGAATGTGATTAAGGACATGACCTTCTGAGTGACCCCAAAGGCCTGCCTTTCCCGCAATGGCCAACCACATGAATGCAAAAGCAAGGGCCTCCTTGTATTGAGAGACAGCTGGTCTAATCCAGCTAGCTGTTTTTGGATACACAGTGATCATGTTCGGCAGCCACCAGAGTAGCCTTGCATTCCAAAAATGGGTGTAACCCACTTTTAAAGTGATCCACATTGATGGCCCTGATTATATTTACTTAAGCTTTATTCCTGCAAGACTTGAAAAAGCAAACTAACAGATTTGTCATGCAGAACTAAGCAAATAAATATGTAATATATTTATAGAACTAAGCCGTGCTTGTTTTTCTTTTTAAAATAAGTGTTAGCAAGCCTTCCTGATTGGTTCTGACTGAGCTTTGAGAATCCAAGTCTGATGTGTAGTAACATGAAGAGACATTCTGATATATTTTATGCTAATTAGAATTTTCCTGTCCAAAACCCACTGTTCCAAAACATGCATATTCCCATTTAGCAGTCTAAAGTCTGGTTGATTTCTATTTCATCCAGCATTGTTAATGAGGAGAACTGAAGACATTTAAATAACAACTTCCTCTCTAGTAAGCTTATAAAAATGCAATCGTAAATTATAAAAAGTCCAGTTGCTGTAAGATGAACAAATTAAAAAAAAGTTTAATAAAACCCCTGAGACCTCTGTCCACTTCTGGTTTTGAAAGTAACAGAACGTGAGGCCAGTTGTGGATCCATGCAGTGGAAATGGTTTCCCCACACCACCCAAAGTTGCCAACAGAAGTCTGCAAATGAAAAACTCTGTATGATGGTTTTTACACCGCCAGGAACCCTGCACGATGGGGATTGGTTGGAAGCCTTTGCACATAGGAATCTACATACAAAGATGTTCTTTCTGAAGAAACATATACAGTAGGACCCTTGTATTCACAGGATCAGTATCCATTGATTCATTAATCCACGGCCTGAAAATATTAAAAGAAAAATCCCCGGAAATATATTTCTAAAGATGAAGTTATCAGACGTGGCCACTAGAGGCAGCCAGAGACCAAGCTATTTTTAGCATTCACTTGCGAAATATATTTCCACAATGTTACGACCAGAACAGGCTACGAGATGGATCCAGAGACCATGCTATATATAGAATTCACTATAATCTGCCTTTTTCAGCATCTGGGAGGAGGTGATTCGCTGCCAATATGGGGGTCATAATGTATCATGGTGAAGCTAGCGCTTGAGGTGCATGCCCCCACTCCCCACCCTTTTAGTAAATAAGGGATACATAATTAATTCCCCCATAAGATGACAGTCACCTGGAAAACTCTGTCTTTTCTTTTAGGGTTTCCCTCATTCTGCTTTCTAAAGCAAAAAGCAAAGAGTGCTACCCCATAACACCGCACTCTCTGGGCGGTTTACATTTTTTAGCATTCCCTAGTGAAATATATTTCCACAATGTTACGACCAGAACAGGCTACGAGATGGATCCAGAGACCATGCTATATATAGAATTCACTATAATCTGCCTTTTTCAGCATCTGGGAGGAGGTGATTCGCTGCCAATATGGGGGTCATAATGTATCATGGTGAAGCTAGCGCTTGAGGTGCATGCCCCCACTCCCCACCCTTTTAGTAAATAAGGGATACATAATTAATTCCCCCATAAGATGACAGTCACCTGGAAGAAAGAAGCCA